TGCGTACAGCAACCGTGTGTGAAAAGTGGTCAATAAAGAGATGCTGAAAAGCGTGTTCATGCAAACATTGTCAGGTCTGCCGTGATATGTTTACAATAAGACTTATGGTCCCGAACCTCTGCGCACAGCGTCTGCAAATCGGGGCTTTCATCTTTACGCAGGACTGTAAGCTTTCATCTGTGAGGCGTGAGCGGTGTTTGTTTTTAACATAGTTCACGGTGGAGAACAGTTACTGGCATAATGTGGATCCGAAGATCCATAACTGGCCTATCTGGGTTTGAAAGTCGATAAATGCACGGCGTTTCGGCGGGTATACCGGCTTCCGCGAGTGTGACGCTTATTTTGAGCGATGAAAAAATAAGATATAATTTTATTTTTATATTTCAAAATCACAATAATCTTCCAATTTAGAACTACAAGTTAAAAAAAAGAAAAGAACTAAACACAAATAAAATACACTTCAGCTAAATACTTCTAATTTCTTTTCCCAAACCACCCGGAGCCGCAGTATAAGGACTAAAGAGCCGCAGGTTTCCGTCCCCTGGTCTAAACAAACAATGATGCTATTTTGACAATTAGTGTATTGTGACTAACATCTTAGACAAGAGGATTTTTTTTAGTCTGCTTTAAATAAACTGACAACTGTGGATTTGTAGCCATCTTTCATAAGGAGGTGCAACTGAATTGATATATCAGCATAGATACAAAACCTTTATTTTCACAATATCAAAATTGACACACCTACAGAGAAGTGTAGATTAAAAGAAATTAAGAGGGCAATGGTTAATACATGACTCGTGTTGGGAGTCGTTACATCTCTGGTGTTAAGATGTGAGGGTGTGGAGCTCTCGGGAATATCTTGTTAAAAGGAGCACATGTGGTGGGAGACAGTTAAACAGCAAATAAAGAGAAGAGAGGGCATTTTGTTTAATCCTGGCAGCAACAATTATACAAAAATCAAAAACAGAGACAACATATGCATTGAAGGAATTTCTAAAATGATAAAACTGAAGCTTCCTACGGCTGCATACTTTAGAAAAATCATGAAAAAGGAGAAGAAAAAAGAAGAAGAAAAAAAACAGCACTCCTTCCAAATACGTCTAAAACTAAATGACAGTGTCTGTCACAGCAGGGGGACAAAAAAGAAAAAAACAAAAAAAAACAACTACTACAATTGTAGTGAAAGTTGAGCCAGGAAAGGAGAAATTCATATCTACACAGAGTGAGGAAGATGAGAACAAATGGAAGGAGAGCAGAAAGAAATGGCCATCTTTATGTAGCTGAAGAGAAATGACAACAGTCATGGGCCCATTAACCACCTCGTCCTTACACCTTCCACAGTGACTGCTCTGTCAGGCTTGGGCAGTAGGGCAAAAAATCCAGCTCTTCGAGCTGAAGCTGTGCAGGAGCTTGGCAGGGTTTGGCAGGTTTTCTGTCTCACTGCTTTGAGTTCACACTGACAGAACGATCCAGCGGCAGGATGGAGGGCAGCTGATGTGAAACGGTACTGGAAATTTGGATGTGTCATGGCTGTCTGCTCAAAGACTTCACAGGAAATAGTCGGCTACTGGTTTCTTGGAGGGTATGCCTCTGGTCTCTTGTGGTGCTGCTTCAAATATGATGAACTCCCGCTGTAGATGCTCATCCAACTCCAAGATGGCTGCTACATTACCACATCTGTTAGGAGAGGAACAAACATTGGTTATACACAAAAAGAGCCTTGTGTATATTTAATTAGCACAGTTTCAAACATTTCTTTGGTATGAAACAACACCGAGATGGCCTTAACCACGCCTGATCACTGGAAACTTTTCCTTTTATTAGTCATGTAATGTATGTAATCCCATCTATTCTGATTGTCAGTGGCCTTTCATGCCACCTGTCAAGAATAGAATGAGTTATATCAACTTTATATAGACCATGTTTCATATTTTGATCGAGGAAAATTTCTTTCACTGTAATTATTTTTAGTGTTTTATCACCCAGCCATAGCACAACGGTATAAACTGCTCTATAGATAAAAGTTTCCTTACTACTATGCTTGTTAAAATGCATTCCCCAAAGTGAGTATTGTTTTGTATCTATGCCAATTGGGTCAAAGCAGCAGACTGACATGTATGAAGCATTATGGGGAATCAAAATGTTACACAACGGCTTTTAATGCTTATTTGTCACAGGGGTAACCATCTCATATTTCAACAGTAGTAAGGTAAACAGAACAAATAGTCTGTTTATAAAGTAATCCACCATGAATGGAGGCTTGACTGGCCAATTCAGCTGACGTCAGTTGATGCTAGAACAAACCCGAACATGGTTCAACTTGTTGTACAGCAAGTCTCTACACAGCAGCAGGTATGCCTTTCCAAACATTTGCAATCTTAACATTGGCCTGCATAAGCTGTAGATTTCAATTTATAGTGCTGGAATTTCACCGGTAATTACTGTTAATACTGAGACAACATGATCCGCCTTTGGAATATTTCAGGGACCAAATCAGTATTTACATGACGAGGACATCTTTCCCCATTCAAGATATCTGAGATTAATGTAGCTATGTACCTGTAGCAGTAGTTGGGTGCTGACCACACTGTGAGCACCGTCTCATTGAAGTGCCACTTGTAGCCTTCCATAACTAGCTGATGAGCTCGACAGATCATGTGGATATCGTTGGCGGCGTTGAACTGAGCCACTACGTCACTCCCAAATAAGTAGCCGGCACCTCTAGGACTCACCCCCCAGCCTGTGGTGTCTGAAAGCAGAGAGAAACTGGTCACACAAACACATCCGTCATACAGTCCTTTAATTCTCCACTGCTGTTTCTTGTTAACGTCAATTTCAATTTTTAGATGTCCAAGTGAACTGTCTGTACCTTCAGGGTCTGACCACAGGAGGTCACACATTGGTCCATCATGGGGCACTTCCTGTTTTCTATCAATGGTCCGGATCTGATCCAGTGTCTGGATGGAGGGAGACAATCCCCCGTGCACACAGAAGATCTACAGACACAGAATTATATCAAAACAAATGAAACAGCTGCGTTACACAGGGAGTTTTAAAAGCAGTAACATGTTCAGAAGAAAACGCTACATATGAAGTAAGTGCTGGATGACGTATCTAACCTTGCCATCGATAATAGCAGAGAGAGAAAGGTAGTCGAAAATCTCTGTGCAGTATCTCCAGACAGTGACTGAGCCATATTTGCGGAGGCACTCGTCATAGAAGCCGTAGACCTGGGTGATCTGCCGGGACTCGTGGTTTCCCCGGATCAAGGTAATCCGGTCTGGATAACGTACCTGGATCGTACAGCAGAGATAAAAGATGAAGAAAAGGGAGTTCTGACACCCCGTGGGAAAGTAAATGTAAAAACTGTGACTGCTGTAGCTCAGCAGTGGACAGACAAACTACCTTAAGAGCTAGCAACAGAAGAAAAGTCTCCACACTGTAGAAGCCTCTGTCCACAAAGTCACCCATGAACAGATAATTTGTCTCCGGGACATCTCCTCCCACCTGTCATGCAGAAAAATGAAAAAGAAGCCCTTTAAACAGATGCATACTGGTAATTTAATGTGCACAAGTCTCTACCTCCCCAACTCACAATAATGGGCTCCAAGACCTGCAATGCACCAAGATTGAACCATACCATTAGGGCTGCACAATTTTGCATAAAATGAGAATCACGATTTTTTGGCTTAGAATTGAGATCACGATTCTCTCACGATTTTCTTTTCCAGTATAAATATTTATCGCACTTATTAAATGCACATCAACTTCGTAACAGTTGAGACTGAACATAAAAACAATAAATAAACATAAAAACAACAAATGTCTCACATTTTGTCGTTGCTGCAAAATGTTGTACTGCTTGAAATTCCATCTCCACCGTTGCTCGACGCTGCGTGTATAGAGCAGGCAGTGCAACAATAGAAAAATAGCTGCGGGACGGCACTGTGTAGCGTTTGTCTAGGGTGTTGATCATTTTCCTAAATCCCTCGTTTTGCACAGAGTTGATGGGAGCCATATCTTTGGCCAGGTGATAAGTGATAGCCTCCGTAATTTCTTTGTGCCTGCGGGAGTTCGACGGGTATAGGGAAGCGCTGTATAAGGTTCCCGTTATTGATGTTTGGGTGGTTGACCAGGACGGATTTTCTCCCGTCACTTTCTCGTCATCCCTGACGTGCTCTCCGTTGTTGTTTCCCTGCTAATTTTAGCATCACACGCCACAGCTTCTGTATCACGTGGTATAAGGCTCCGCCCTTGCCATTTGTTGAGCAGGAAGAGTGAGCGCTTGTTTTCATGCAGAGTACGTCCCGGATCAAAATGCGGTACAATCGTCGTCGTTTTTTTTTGTTTTTTTTAATCGTTGTCATTTGGAAATGAGCTCGCACATAAGTATGAATCGAGATTGCGATTTTCTAACGATTAATCGTGCAGCCCTACATACCATATCTCAAAATATTACCTCACATGAGATTAGTAAAAGAAACTAGCATCAATTCACTATTTGGACGACATTTTGGTCTAATACTGACTCAAAGCTACACTGGGTATCGATACATTGGAGCAGCAGTGTACTGCTTGCACCCACTCTCGCTCTTCATTACGTCTGCTGTAAATCTTATTGAGAAGCCTCTACTGGAGCATTTACAGCAACATAACATGATGCCAAGTTTCTCGTCAGCTTCACTGTGTGAGTGTGTGAGGAGGTGTACTCACAGGAAGAGCCATAACAGGAGAAACTAGGATGTCCATAAGTAACAGCAGTATGAAATGAGACTCATGCATATTTTAGCTGAAAAATAAAAATGTACC